CAACACACACACACACACACACCACAATAATTCCCAGGATGGTGTAAAGGCATCATACAACCCAATACCTTAATACAGATATGAAGAAAAATAATTGTCTCAGAATATTACCCAACTTACGATAGTCATTTACGTGTGGTAATGTAATCAACCCGAACAACGATTTTTTAAAAGATCGTAGGTCATATATTCGTCTTACAGTAGGTAGTCAACAACCTAACCTAACCTAACCTAACCTGTTAATTTGAGGTAAAATATGAAGTTCATATCCAAGATGGCGTCAAATTTACACTGAGACTAGAGGCCTTTGTTTAGTATCACCTATGGGGATAAAATTACACTGAGACTCTACCTAGATACGTTCACTTAATACTGATTATTATGAGACAAACTTCATGTATGCAAAATTATGTTTTGTATCTTATTTCATAATTATCTAACTTACGGATACATAGGTACAGGTACAGGTACAGGTACAAATACAGGTACAGGTACAAACACAGGTACAGGTACAAATACAGGTACAGATACAGGTACGAATACATGTATAGATACAGGTACAGGTACAAATGCAGGTACAGGTACAAATACAGGTATGGATACAGGTACAGGTACAAACACAGGTACAGGTACAAATACAGGTACAGGTACAAACACAGGTACAGTACAAATACAGGTGCAGATACAGGTACAGGTACAAATACAGGTATGGATACAGGTGCAGATACAGGTACAGGTACAAATACAGGTGCATGTATAGATACAGGTACAGATACGGAGTATAGATACAGGTACAGATACAGGTACGTACAAATCAGGTACAGGTACAAACACAGGTACAGGTACAAATACAGGTACAAATGCAGGTACAGGTACAAATACAGGTATGGATACAGGTACAGATACAGGTACAGGTACAAATACAGGTACAAATGCAGGTACAGGTACAAATACAGGTACAAACACAGGTACAGATACAAATACAGGTACAAAGCAAGTGGATACAAATACAGGTATGGATACAGGTACAGATGGGTACGTGCAAATGCAGGTACAGGTACAAATACAGGTATGGATACAGGTACAAATACAGGGTACAGGTACAAATACAGGTACAAATGCAGGTACAGATACAAATACAGGTATGGATACAGGTACGATAGGTACGTACAAATGCAGTACAGATACAAATACAGGTATGGATACAGGTACAGAATACGGGTAGGTACAAATACAGGTACAGCAGGTGCAGGTACAAATACAGGTACAAACACAGGTACAGGTACATACAGGTACAAATGCAGGTACAGGTACAAATACAGGTATGGATACAGGTACAGATACAGGTACAGGTACAAATACAGGTACAGGTACGTACGGTACAGGAATAATACAGGTACAGGTACAAATGCATTAAATGCAGGTACAGGTACAAATACAGGTATGGATACAGGTACAGATACAGGTACAAATCAGGTACAATACAGATACAAATACAGGTATGGATACGGTACAGATACAGGTACAGGTACAAATGCAGGTACAGATACAAATACAGGTATGGATACAGGTACAGATACAGAGGTACAAATACAGGTACAAATGCGGGTACAGGTACAAATACAGGTACAAACACAGGTACAGGTACAACCAGGTACAAATGCAGGTACGGATACAAATACAGGTATGGATGGACAGGTACAAATACAGGTATGGATACAGGTACAGATACAAATACAGGTACAAACACAGGTACAGGTACAAATACAGGTACAGAAGGTACAGGTACAAATACAGGTATGGATACGGAGCAGATACAGGTACGGAATATACAGGTATGGATACAGGTACAGATACAGGTACAGGTACAAATACAGGTATGGATACAGGTACAGATACAAATACAGGTATGGATACAGGTACAGATACAGGTACAGGTACAAATACAGGTACAAATGCAGGTACAGGTACAAATACAGGTATGGATACAGGTACAGATACAGGTACAGGTACAAATACAGGTATGGATGCAGGTGCAGATACAAATACAGGTACAAACACAGGTACAGGTACAAATGCAGGTATGGATGCAGGTGGATACATAGGTACAAATACAGGTATGGATACAGGTACAGATACAGGTACAGGTACAAATACAGGTATGGATACAGGTACAGATACGAGTACAGGTACAAATACAGGTGCAGTACAGGTACAGATACAAATACAGGTATGGATACAGGTACAGATACAGGTACAGGTACAAATCGGGTACAGATGCAGTACGGTACAAATACAGGTCAAACACGGTCAGGTACAAATACAGGTACAAATCAGGTACAGGTACAAATGCAGGTATGGATACAGGTACAGATACGGTACAGGTACAAATGCAGGTACAGGTACAAATCAGGTATGGATACAGGTATAGATACAGGTACAGGTACAAATACAGGTACAAATGCAGGTACGGTACAATACAGGTATGGATACAGGTACAGGTACAGATACAGGTACGAATACATGTATAGATACAGGTACAGGTACAAATGCAGGTACAGGTACAAATACAGGTATGGATACAGGTACAGATACAGACAGGTACAGGTACAATAATTATCATCTGATGACAACGTAAGATCTCTGGTGTTTTAAAGGGGCCAGTACAATGTTGTCTTGATATCAATATTTAGGTTCACACACACACACACACAGTCTCTCTCTCTCTCTCTCTCACACACACACACACACACAACTTGGAACCCTCAACACCCTCCCCCCCCCCGGACCTTATAAATTAATAGTCGTATAATAAACAAGTGGATCTTTTATCAGGAGTTAACTCTTGTACTGTACGACACTGCCTCGCCAGCCACATGTTGGTGACGTTGTAGGTACTGGTGGAAGTAATGGTGATATTAACACCTTTGACGACGATGGTTTAAGTTTTTGAGGATGGTGGTTTATGTGAGGATGGTGGTTTATGTTTTTTGAGGATGGTGGTTTATGTGAGGATGGTGGTTTATGTTTTTTGAGGATGGTGGTTTAAGTGAGGATGGTGGTTTATGTTTTTTGAGGATGGTGGTTTAAGTGAGGATGGTGGTTTAAGTGAGGATGGTGGTTTATGTTTTTGAGGATGGTGGTTTAAGTGAGGATGGTGGTTTAAGTGAGGATGGTAGTTTATGTTTTTGAGGCATCATCCTCAAAAGCTTAAAATTAAACAAACATCCATCCTCAAAAAAGCTTAAAACATAATCCTAAAAAAAGCTTAAACCACCATCCTCCAAAGCTTAAACCTCCTTTAAGTCATCGGGCTGGAAACGTTAAGCAGTTTAGAAAATCGGATATTGCTTCAGCACCAGCCAGGGCCCTAACACAGTACAACATAGCATTAAGGCAACACCCAAACTCTGGACTACTCTTACGGAATTGTTGGTTATATTGAGGGTTTTTTTTTCCATGTATGCAATTTTTATTTTCTATTTTTAATTTTTTTTTTAGTTTTTTTGTTTTTTTAATTGATTTTTATTTTTTTGGGGGAAAATTGCTGGGAGTTAAGTATTTCAGTGTCGTCTAACCAAACCTAATCTAACCTAACCTAACCTAACCCTTACCTAACAACCAAACCTAATTTACCCTACCCTAAACCTAACCTAACTTACCTTAACCTAACCAAACACAGATTAAACGAACTATAATTTCACTTCTTTTTTTTTTCGGTAAAAGATTTCAACAAAAGTGAATAAAAAATTTCTACCAACTTTTTTTTTTGTTCTTTCCCAAACTTTAATGACAATGAATGAAACCGCAGATGAAAAAAGCTTCGGTTTACCCTGAACTGCTTCGAACCTTTGTGAAGTAAAGTGTTAGTTAATGATTCACTTTGTAAACTGTGTCGGTTGGGGGTATGAACAAGAGTGAGTGTGTGTGGGTGGGGTGTGCAGCCAGGGGGAGGGAGTGTGGTGAGGAGCAGGGGAGGGGTGTGTGGGGGGGGTGAGTGTGTGGGGGTGGGGGGAGGGTGTGTGTGGGGGGTAGGGTGTGTGGGGAGAGGCAGTGTGTGGGGGTGGGGAGGTGTGTTGTGTGTGGGGGTAGTGAGTGTGTGTGTCTGTGGAGAAAGGAGGTGTGTGTGTGTGTGTGTGGGGAAGATAAACAGAGAGTACTAAACACAAATCCTTAACACCACTGAACCAAAACCTCAGAATGGCACCTGGGGAGTCAGCCGCTTAGTGCCAGGGGACCATTGTGGCACCGTCTGCAACCGACTAAGCAGGTGCCATTATTACCGAGAGAGAGAGAGAGAGAGAGAGAGAGAGAAAAAACAACCAGATTATATCCACAACATTCTCCAGCGGATGATTGGACTGTTTTTACTCAGCTCTTCCAATCGTATACACAGGATTCGAATTACCACACGCATTCCAATCACGCAGTCAACAAGGCATACTGACTAGGAGACAACAAACAAGCCAGGGAGGTTAGGGTTGGGCAGAGTAGGTCAAGGGTAGGTCACGGTAGGTCAGAACAGGTCATGGTGGGACAGGGTAGGTCAGAACAGGTCAAGGGTAGGTCAGGGTAGGTTAGAGGAAAGGTCAAGGTTGGTCAGGGTAGATCAGAACAGGTCAGAGTAGGATAGGATAGGTCAGGGTAGGACAGGATAGGTCACGGTAGGACAGGATAGGTCAGAGGAGGTCAAAGATAGGGTCAAGGTAGGACAGGATAGGTCAGGGTAGGACAGGATAGGTCACGGGAGGTCAAGATTAGGTTCAAGGTAGGTCACGACATGTTAAGAGTAGGTTCAGGTAGGTCAGCGGAGAGATCAGGGGAGATCGGGGTTGGTCAGGGAAGGTCACAACAATGCCAGAGTAGGTCAAGGCAGGTCAGCGGAGAGATCAGGGGAGATCGGGGTTGGTCAGGGAAGGTCACAACAATGCCAGAGTAGGTCAAGGCAGGTCAGCGGAGAGACCAGGAGAGATGAGGGGAGGGTCGAAGTAGGTCAGAACATGTCAAGAGTAGGTCAAGATAAGTCAGAGGATGAGGTGGTTAAGGGGAAGAGTCTACAAGCCTCAAGGTGTTACTGGGAACAAAAACCAAAAGGTCGAAGATGTTTATGTGAACCCTTTACACTTTGGCCTTTAAAGCGTTTTATCTGAGATTGTGTTATCCTCCTCCTCCAGCACCGGGTGAGGGGGAGGGAGGGGTGAGGGAGGGGTGGGGAGGGAGGAGGGGGAGGGAGGGGTGGGAGGGGAGGGGTGAGGAGGGGTGAGTGAGGGGGTGAGGGGAGGGGTGGAGGAGGGGTGAGGACAGAGTGAGGGGTGGGGAGGAGGGGGAGGGAGAGGAGATGGGTGAATGGAGGGGTGAGGGAGGGGTGAGGAGAGGGGAGAAGAGGAGGAGTAAGGGAGGGGAAGGAGAGGGAGTAAGGGAGGGGTGAGGGAGAGGGAATAAGGGAGGGGGTGAGGGAGGAGGAGTAAGAGGAGTAAGGAGGGGTGAAGGAGGGAGTAAGGGAGGGGTGAGGGAGAGGAATATGGGAGGGGTGGGAGGGGAGAGGGGAGTAAGGGAGGGGTGAGGGAGAGGAGTAAGGGAGGGGTGGAGGGAGAGGAGTAAGGGAGGTGAGGGAGAGGGGAGTAAGAGAGGGGTGAGGGAGAGGAATATGGGAGGGGTGAGGGAGAGGAGTAAGGGAGGTGTGAGGGAGAGGAGGTAGGTCAGGTCAGATTTAATGCGGCGCTTGTAAGTCTGGTTGGTAGGAAAGACCATTTGTTTCAGCATTAAATTCAAAGATAATAGCTGTACTTTTTTCTTCTAATTTTTGTATTTTTCCTAATATAATTTTTCTGTATATCTATAATAACTAGTTGTGTATTTGTCTATCAATCTGTCGAGTTAATTATCAGTCTATCTATCGGTGCTTCGATTTATGTTTGTACGTATGTGGTGTAATGGTCAACATGCTCGCCTCGCAAGCTAGTGGACCCGGGTTCGATCCTCGGGCAGGGTGAAACTATGGGCAAGTTTCTTTACGCCATTTGCCTCTGTCTACCCAGCAGTAATTGGGGACCTGGATGTTAATCGATTTATGGATCGTGTTCCGGGGTCATGCAGCTCGTTAACTCAGGGTGTGGTTGTTGTGTTGGTGACAGCTTCTACACCTTAAACAAATTCACGCCTAGGGCCGGCCATCCTCGTTAACGGCACTAATAGTCCAATAATATAGATTTGACTCTTATATTTTAGAGATAATTACACTGTATCGATCCTTTATATCAGTTTTTGTATTTCGAATGTTCAAACTAATCCAAATATGTGAACGATCATGTGGATTTATAACTATAGAAACTATAGATATGCATTATAATTACTGACCTGACCTGACCTGGCCTGACCTGACCTGACCTAACCTAACCTAACCTAACCTACATTTATTTAAGTAGAATGTGGTTGTGTTTTGACAATAAGTGACCATTTGTGAAGTAATTTCCACTGTTATGCTTATATAAACAAAACGTCATTTAACACACACACACACACACACACACACACAACACACACACACACACACACACACACACACACACACACACACACACGCACACATACACACACACACACACACACACACGCACACGCACACACACACACACACGCACGCACACACACACACACACACACACACACACACACACACACACACACACACACACACACACGCACACACACACACACACACGCCATAATAATACCGACTAATTAGACTTTATCACAACCTAACGGGAGGAAAGTGACCGCAGGTAAAAATTAAAATTATTAAAGAATGGTTAGAGGTCAAAGGTCACCACTAATGAGTCAAACCTTAACAACAAGTGACTCTAATGACATCAAGCACAGAAAGTCAAGGATGAGAAGGACAGTAAGGTCAAAGTTCACCGCTAAAGGTCGAGAAGTAGGACAATTATCTTGCTGTGTGTGAGTAAACCTAACCTAACCTAACCTAACCTAACCTAACCTAACCTAACCTAACCCAACCTAACCTAACCTAACCTAACCTAACCTGTATAACAGATGGCAGACACACTCCCTCCCCCACAAGCAGCAGAGCTCATTAGGGGCCGCCCATCAGCAGACACCCCCACAAGCAGAGAGCTCATTAGGGGCCGCCCATCAGCAGACACCCCCCACAAGCAGCGAGCTCATTAGGGGCCGCCCATCAGCAGACACCCCCACAAGCAGAGAGCTCATTAGGGCCGCCCATCAGCAGACACCCCCACAAGCAGAGAGAGCTCATCAGGCCGGCCATCAGCAGACACCCCCAAGCAGAGCTCATCAGAGAGACACCCCACAAGCAGAGAGCTCATCAGGGCCCGGCCATCAGCAGGCAAGCAGCAGGCTCATTAGGGGCCGCCCATCAGCAGACACCCCCCACAAGCAGAGAGCTCATCAGGCCCGGCCATCAGCAGACACCCCCCAAGCAGAGAGCTCACCAGGGCCTGCCATCAGCAGACACCCCTCTCCTTCAAGCAGAAACCTCATCAGGGGCCACCCATCAGCAGACAACCCCCCTCAAGCAGAGAGCTCATCAGGGGCCGCCCATCAGCAGACAGCCTCCACCTCCTCAAGCAGAGAGCTCACCAGGGACCGGCCATCAGCAGACACCCCCCTTTCCCCAAGCAGAAACCTCATCAGGGGCCTTCCATCAGCAGACAACCCCCTCAAGCAAAGAGCTCATCAGGGGCCTCCCATCAGCAGACAACTCCCCTTCAAGCAGTGGCTCATCAGGTGCCGGCCATCAGCAGACAACCTCCTGCCTCCTCAAGCAGAGAGCTCATCAGGGCCGGCCATCAGCAGACGACCCTCCTGCCTCCTCAAGCAGAGAGCTCATCAATCAGCAACAACCCTCCTGCCTCCTCAAGCAGAGAGCTCATCAGGGCCGGCCATCAGCAGACGACCCTCCTGCCTCCTCAAGCAGAGAGCATCAGGGCCGGCCATCAGCAGAGAGCTCATCAGGGGGCCATCAGCAGACAACCCTCCTGCCTCCTTAAGCAGAGAGCTCATCAGGGCCGCCCATCAGCAGACACCTCCCTGCCTCCTCAAGCAGAGAGCCCATCAGGCCGCCCATCAGCAGACACCCCTCCTGCCTCCTCAAGCAGGAGCCCATCAGGGAGGCCCATCAGCAGACACCCCTCCTGCCTCCTCAAGCAGAGAGCCCATCAGGGGCCGCCCATCAGCAGACAACCCTCCTGCCTCCTCAAGCAGAGAGCCCATCAGGGGCCGCCCATCAGCAGACACCCACAACCCTCCTCCCCCTCAAGCAGAGAGCTCGCCAGGGGCCTCCCATCAGCAGAGACACCCTCCTCCCCCTCAAGCAGAGAGCTCATCAGGGCCGGCCATCAGCAGAGAGCTCATCAGGTGCCGGCCATCAGCAGACAACCCTCCTGCCTCCTCAAGCAGAGAGCTCATCAGGGCCGGCCATCAGCAGAGAGCTCATCAGGGGCCGGCCATCAGCAGACGACTCTTAAAACACAAGGCCGAAAATAAGCAGAGCATAAAAGCAGACTCAAGCCTCTCCCGCCATATTTCGTTCATATCTAAATGAAATCTAACTTCTTTTACAAAACGAATTAAGGGAATAAAACTGCGACAAACACTTTTTAAGCTAATAACAAATGCATGAAAGCGTGACGTACTGTAGCGGGAAAATACATTATTTCAAAAATTTTGGCTAAAGAGAAAATAGGAATTAAAGTTTTGTACCAGTTATCCCTCACAAACCGGAGGGGAGACTAGTATGTTTTTCAGAATTGGTTTTCATTGATAATCATAACATTTTACTGCACGAGGTGATACCAGATGGATTTTATATGAGTAGCAGAGATTTATAGCTGTGAGACTCTATGTTAGACTAAAGAAGGATTCGTTATGTATGTATGTATGTATGTATGTATGTATCAGTGACGTATTCTTAATGAATGCCTAGTAGAAAGCAAAATATATTTTTAAATAGTATCTTCAATAATACAGATTTAATTTTAGAGTCTTCACAGTTTTCACTCAGTCAAGTGGAGGAGACTCATCGTCCCTGATGAATGCGTGCAGAAGCACAAGCCGCATGCCCTCAATGAACATATGGACGTAACCACCCTATCAATAACATGCTAAAATGATCTTTATTGTGTTGGAACATAAGGAATTTGAGCCATTTTAGTCAAATTTAATATTTTTTTTTCCCTTAACCCTTTCACCGCGTGTCACGCGCTCGCTATTTTATTCTGGCTACCGCCAGACGATTTTATTCAGCTTAGGGTAACCTTCTGCTGTGAAAGGGTTAATAAGCATGAAGTCTTATATTATACGGTGATATTATATTACCTAAGAGTTGTTGTTCCATAAGAGTGGCTATTTAATAAGGTTTCTGTAAATGTAATGTGTACAAATGCATGCACATTGAAAACTGCATTCACTTGTCGAGAGGCTGTGTAGACCAGCGGCGGCTGGACAAAACTGGTCCACATTAATAATTTTTAATGTTTCTAAATAACCCGACAGTCCGCTTTCAGTTGTAGTTTTTTCTCTTGGGAAAGTTATTCAGTTTTCTGTTTTACTTGAAATAATAATCGGATCATATAAATATAAATATTTACTAATTATTTAAATATTCATCAATCAGATCAGTGGCAGCCTCATAGAGGGCCAGCGTCGTGCATGATGCCTAGTGTTTTAAACTCCTTTGTTTCTAAATTACTGTAGCTCAACACTAAAGCTTAATATTATTTTACATTAAGTATTTTTGCACCCATTATTTAATGATTTATAATAGATACTTTGTCAGATGCCACTGACATAATTTAAAAAATTAGGTGTTTATAAAAGCTTGCCAACCCTTATTTAGAGAAATGTTATATCCTACTTGACATTTGAGTTGATAACTGATATACGTGGGTGTTGTTCTGCCTCAACACTTCAACCACGGTACTCCACTGGTATGTGTGGGTGTATTATTATTATTAGCACCATCCAAAATCAACTCCATCCACTCCAAAAAAACAGCCCTCTCGTAACTCCTCGTTACTCCTCGTCACTCCTCGTTACCCCTCGTCACTCCCCGTAACTCTATTATCAGTATCATCATCAAATTTACGCCTGTGGCCCAGAGACTTGACCTTACTGTATATACTGCCTGTGAAACTTTTGCTCATTGGGAACCTTGTTAGTGTGTGTGTGTGTGAGCAGGGGTGGTGCTGAAGGAGAGGTGGTGTGGGAGGGGTGCTGAGGTAGGGGTGTGTGTGTGGGGGGGTGGTGCTGAGGTAGGGTGTGTGTGTGGGGGGAGTGCTGAGGGTAGGGTGTGGGTGTGGAGGTAGGAGGTGTGTGTGTGTGGGGGGTGGTGCTGGTAGGGTGTGTGTGGGGGTGGTGCTGAGGTAGGGTGTGTGGGGGGTGGTGCTAGGTAGGTGTGTCAGGTTTTGTGCAGTGCCTGTGTTTGTTTATATTCGACAGAAGGCAACTCGCAATAATAAATTTACTATAGAATCAAAGTAAAACAACATTAAAACAAAATATCTCGATGTAATGATTTGTGGGATGTTTCTATGACGAACCCCCCTGTAAACGCGCTAGTGAAGGGGACTGTACATTCGGGCACGAACTTACCGTTGAGGAAGTGAAGAGGGTCGAGTACAGTACCACCCATGACTACCGCCTTGTGTACCGAAAAATTATGGGATATGTTTATTTTTGGGTTGGGTTAGTTTAGGTTAAGGTTGGGGTAGGTTAGGTTAGGTTAGGTTAGGTTAGGTGAGGTTAGGTTAGGTTAGGTTAGGTTAGATAAAAATTCGATAAGGTTAAACTAGGTTCAGGTCATTAGTGCATCCTTTCCACCATCCTCTTTCCTTCCTCCTCCACCCCTACCTACCCTCCCACCCTCCTTCCCCTCTCCCACTCCTACCCCCTCCTCCTCCCACTCCTCCTCCCTCCCCCCCCTCACCCTCCCTCCCGCCCTCCCTCCCTCCCTCCCTCCACTCCCCTCCCCCTCACCCTCCTCCCCTCCCTCCCTCCTCCCTCCCTCACCCCCTCCCTCCTCCCTCCTCCTCCTCCTACCCTCCTCTCCTCCCCTCCCCACCCCTCCTCACTCCACTCCTCCTCCCTCCTCCCTCCTCCCTCCCTCACCTCCCCCCTCCCTCCCCTCCTCCTCCCTACCCTCCCTCCACCCCTCACCCTCCTCCCCCCTCCCACCCTCCTCCCTCCCTCCCCACCCCCCTACCCCTCCCTCGCCCCCTCCTCCCTCCCTCCCCTCCCTCCCTCCCCCCCTCCCCTCCCTCCTCCTCCCTCCCCTCCTCCCTCCCTCCCCCCTCCCCCTCCTCCTCCCTCCCCCTCCCCTCACCCCTCTCACCCTCCCTCCCCCTCCCTCCCTCCCTCCCTCCCCTCCCCCTCCCCCTCCCTCCCTCCTACCCCCTCCCCTCACCCCTCTCACCCTCCCTCCCCTCCCTGCTGCCTAAACTAACTAACGACTTCCCATTTCCCTTAACAGTGTAACTTTTGTAGAACGGAGGTAATAAGCTATCTGGAACATACTGTATACATTTTTTCCTCTCTTCTGGTTATATACACGACGGGTCTCTCTCTGCAGTGTGTGTGTGTGTGTGTGTGTGTGTGTGTGTGTGTGTGTGTGTGTGTGTGTGTGTGTGTGTGTGTGTGTGTGTGTGTGTGTGTGTGTGTGTGTGTGTGTGTGTGCGTGCGATGCGTGTGTGTGTGTGTGTGTGTGTGTGTGTGTGTGTGTGTGGTGATGTATGCAATGTAACTTTGTGTGAGTGTAGCAGAGTAAACCTTCAGTAGTCGCGTGTGTGTATTTCACAGCAGTGTGTAAGTATTTTGACATCATGTTTAATAGAAAGACAACACTTTTGTAAGTATTTTTATATACACCTATCCTAAACACACACACACACACACACACACACACACACACACACACACACACACACACACACACACACACACACACACACACACACACACACACACACACACACACACACACACACACACACACACACACACACACACACACACACACACACACACACACACACACACACACACACACACACACACACACACACACACAACAAAACAAAACAAAACTCACCAAAAAAACACATTCTTTCTTTTCCAGCAGACGTAGCACGCATCTCTCTCTCTCTCTCTCTCTCTCTCTCTCTCTCTCTCTCTCTCTCTCTCTCTCTCCCTCTCTCTCTCTCTCTCTCTCTTCAACCATGTCTCGCTTCCGTGATAAACTCGGCCTTCACCTAAAACACAGGAAGAATCGTCTCAGGTCAGGTCGATGATGAGGCTGTGTTGTCAGGTGAAGTCGATGATGGTGGCAGTGGTGTCAGGTGAGGTCGATGATGGTGGCAGTGGTGTCAGGTGAGGTCGATTATGGTGGCAGTGGTGTCAGGTGAGGTTGATGATGGTGGCAAGTGGTGTCAGGTGAGGTTGATGATGGTGGCAGTGGTGTCAGGTGAGGTTGATGATGGTGGCAGTGGTGTCATGTGAGATCAATAAGGGTGTAAATATATAGTTAGATAGATAACAACAGAAACACACACACACACACACACACACACACACACACACACACACACACACACACACACACACACACACACACACACACACATCACATCAATATACCCTCCAAAAAAAAAAATTCATCCCTCACAACCTCTAGAAATACATCCATCAGTCAAACTAGGACAGGCGGACACTGACACCTGACTTATTAAACCCAACCTAAACCTGAGTATTTAACCTAGATGTGGGGGGTTATTGTGCCTGGTGGTGGTGTGGTACTGTCAAAAAACTCTTCCAGGTCTAATACTACGGCCATCAGTGAGGCTAATTCTTATGCAAATGGGGAGGAGGAAGAGGAGGAGGTGGGAAGGGAACTCTGACTACATATGTGTGTTAATATGCTCTCTCTCTCTCTCTCCCTCTCTCTCTCTCTCTCTATTTTCTTTCATCATGACTTTTCTATTACCTACTCATTCTCCCTCTCCCCTTCCTTCATTTTTTATGGACTTTTCTACTTGAACTTTTCTTCTTCTTCTTCCTCTTCTTGTTCTTTACTCTCCCGTCTCCTTTCTTCTCCCTTCCTCCCTCCCTTTATTCAACGCATTTACCATCTTCAACTCATTCCAACTTTTCCTAGCTCTCTTTACTTCAATTTCCTTCTTCTTTCTCCTCTCCCCACGTCTTATCTCTCTCTCTCTTTATTTCCTTCTATCTCCTATCGTTCATTCACTCTCCCCACGTCTTACCTCTCTCTCTATTTCCTTCTATCTCCCATCTTTCTTTCACTCTCCCCACGTCTTATCTCTCTCTCTCTATTTCCTACTACTACTACTACTACTAATACTACTACTACTCACTAATAATAATAATAATAATACTAATAATAATAATAATAGAAACAACAATATAATAATAATAATAATAATAATAATAATAATAATAATAATAATAATAATAATAATAATAAAATAAAATAATAATAATAATAATAATAATAATAATAATAATAATAATAATAATAATAATAATAAT